GGGACCTGCTCCTGCTGAAGTGGTGAGGAAGAGGTGAACACATTCTGCTCTTTGTTATGAGGTCACTCACTAACAGTCCCAAGTGTGAAAAGTTTAATCTCCAGTTGACCACTGTGGGGAAATGGCAGACATCTTGGCAAAGAGCTGGAGCCAAACTGCAGGCCTCTTGGTCATGGGGGAATTTCACTTAAAGGGAGTTATGGGATACAGCCCCTCTTTTTTCCTCATTTTCTCTTCCAGCCATTAGTTGAACTGGCTTCTTTTGCCTGCACTCCCTCCATGACGCTCTGCCCTGCCGCAGGCCCAGAAGCAGCATTGCCAAATGACGACGGATTGCAACTTCCAAAACTCTGAGCCAAGATAAGCCTTTCCTCTTCCTTAGTTTATTATCTCCAGTACTATGCTATAGTAACATAAAGCTGGCTGAAGCCTTTTCTTCCTTTTAGTCCTTTGAGAGACTAGCAAATAAGCATCTACATCATGAAAGATAATCTAGCATATAAGTTTATCAATGAAAATTTAAATTTCATCCTAAAACACCCTCCAAGTTATACTCAAAATGATGTCTGATGAAATATCTAGGCAGCCCCTGGCCTAAGCAAGTGGCCATATTACATTAACCATCACAGTATCTTACCTGATCCTTTTCAGACTTGAGAAAGAACAAATAAGCTCTGTTGGCAATGTTGAGCTTTTCATACAGGCATTTTAAGGGAAGCAGGTTCAGGGATCACCCTAGAGATACAGCCTTATGCTGCTGGAAGCCACACTTGAAGTTGATAATATTTGAGTACAAAAGTTTGGTTGGGGCCATCATGTGCAGAAAATTATGTCTCTAGCTTGATAGAGTTTCCATCTCAAAAATAATCCACCTGCAATTTACTTTTGTAAATCTATAATGCAATCTTGTGGCAGAAGGACAGAGAGAAAGTCTCATTTTGACATAGTTCCATTATGCACATTTCATTACCACGGTTTAGTTAAATAACACCAGTCCCCTAAAACCACTATTCAAATTTCTGTTTCCAAAGTAACCCATAATGGCACAAGCCAAACACTTTATTGCTAGATTTTCTATTCATATATCACTGTTTAAATAACTGCCAGGTAGGATGATAAGAAATGATCCCACCTGTTTTCAGGTGTGTCTTAGTCATTGAACTTCTGTCAGTAGGCCACTTCACAGACAGCAAAGTGCATGGGTCTCAGGTTGACTTCAATGGCTTCCTACTTGGCTTTCAAATGTATGCAATGATCCCATAAGTTTGATAGGCATTCCTACTCACAGTGATGTTTACTGTGAATATCTTCGTCAACATCCTCCCCAAGCTTCTTTCAATGATGCCAACACTGGTAAAGACCAGTTCTTCCCACAGATGCCATTTCCAAAGACCCAATACCAATTTTCCAAAGACCCAATACCAATCTTCTTCCAAAGATCCACCTGTACACTGCTGGCCATCAGTCTTCAGACAATTTGCATCTTAGCTTTGACGCATCTCTAGACATTTACTCTTCAAATGCTGTTTGCTCCCATTTACAGCAACCCTCTTCTCTTGATCCCCCTGCAGTGGTAACTTTCTAGCTCACCTATTCTTCTGCATTTCTGGAGCCCCTTTTCCCATTCACACAGTCTCCCCAGTAGTAATCAGTCATCTTCAGAGACAAAATGTTTATGTTCTACAAGGAATAAGGAAAAAAATAATAACCATAAAATGAGGTGGCCTGAAATGAGAGGTGAATACGTGGTTAAGTATTTTCTGAAGTGCCGGAAAGGAAGAGATTTTTGTTTGGATTGGTAATGTGGAGAAGGCAAGTGATTTTATTGCTCTAGATTGTAATATACTCATTTCAAACAATTTAACCATTTCATTTTGGATAGTTTTTCTCCTTAGGGAAAAAATACATAACCTTTTTTTCCTACTGGTGATAAATTTTTGCAATTCGGATACACCAGCCTTGCTCAGTGTATTACCTTCCTCTACTCTTTCTCCCAAGATGCATTTTTACATCCTCATAGGATTTCTCTTTCCAAAATATAGACAATGCTTCCCTCCCGGGGAGATGTCACCCAGTGAATACATAAAATTATTAACCCTCTTAAGTAACACACACACACAATTTTTCATCTGCTCATTCCAGTCTTTATTTTTATTTATTTATTTCTGGTTTTCGAGACAGAGTTTCTCTGAGTAGCCCTGGCTGTCCTGGATCTCGTTCTGTAGACCAGACTGGCCTCAAACTCAGAGAACTGCCTACATCTGCCTCTCTAGTGCTGGGATTAAAGGAGTGCATCACCACTGCCTGGCTCATTCTGGTCTTTTTTTCTAACCTCATTTTCACATCCCTGTCCATCATTCCAGGCAGATTCTATACTCACCAGCACATATGAATGAATGAATACTGAGCTGTTTGTTAGGGAATATCCCCTAGTCTAGAGGGCCCTACTCACCATTTCCCATATAGTAAGCTCCTCCTGCCTTTTACTACCAAGGACACCATGTTTTCTCTGGGCTTTTCTTTTTAACTGTAACCCACCTCTAGAAATGAATTGATCACTGAACTGTGTTATGTGCTACCACATACAAATCTCTATCATACATATACATACATATTAAAACTCTGTTACAGTGTGTCATAAGTTACCTTTTGACACCTCTGAAGTAAGGATATGTCTTACAGTAGCAAAATGTTATTTTACATAATTTATTTTACATAATTTATTTCTTAATGTCACATTAACATAATGGTACATCATACAATTAATGCCATCTTAGACTAGATGAAATAATACAATTCTTTATTATGTGTATGATTTTCCTACTAGACAGTGGATCTTGTATTCCTCTTATTTGTGGATAATTTGTGTATTATTGAATGTATACATATTACATTAAAATGTCAATTGGATGGCTGATAGATGCACTAAAGCATGGAGAACAGGAGGAATATTGAAATGTAATATAATTTTCACTGGCAAAGTCTCAAAAAGAACTTTAATTTGTAATCATGTCAGTTTCCTATTTGTACTATTGTACTATATTTATGAATGACACTACAGCTGAAGAAAACATGATTAACCATACATGGGATTTCTTTGAACTGCATTTTGCAATTTCATGTGAATTCAGTTTAAGATATCTCTCAATCTCTCTCTCTCTCTCTCTCTCTCTCTCTCTCTCTGTGTGTGTGTGTGTGTATGTATGTGTGTGTGTATGCATTATCTTTGTGTGTGTAGATAAACTCACCTGTTTACATGCATAGAGGACCAAGTTTGATATTGGGTATCTTTCTCTGTTGCTTTTACTTTGTGTTTTGAAACAGGATCTCCTACTGAACCTGATGCTCATTGTCTTAAGTACCCTTTCAGCAAGTACTCCTGCTATGCTTATACAATGGCACTTTATCTACTAAGCCCAAATCACCAGGTAGAGCTCCAGGAATCCAATTGGCAAGAGAGAGGAGGGATTGTATGAGCAAGAGATATTGAGACCATGATTGGAAAAAGCACAGGGACAAATAGACAAACTAGTGGAAACGCATGAACTGTGAACCAATGGCTGAGGAGCCCCCTTGTAACTTGACCAGACCCTCTGGATAAATGAGACAGTTGATTAGCTTGAACTACATGGAAGGCCCCTAGGCAGTGGAGCCAGGACCTGTTCTTGGTGCATGGGCTGCCTTTTTGGAGCCTGGGGCCTATGCTGGGACACTTTGCTCAGCCTTGGTGTAGGGAGGAGGGGACTGGACCTGCCTCAACTGAATCTACCAGGCTGGGTTAACTCCCCAGGGGAGATCTTGCATTGGAGGAGGTGGGAATGGAGGGTGGATTGGGGGGAGGGATGGGGGATGGGAGGAGGGAGGATGGGGGAATCCATGGCTGATATGTGAAATTAATTATAAAATAAAAATATTTTTTAAAATATGTTTAACGTAAAAATAATGTACTATAAATTCCTTATGCTGTTGATGCTCAAACTGGTTTTCTTTATTACTTAATAAAATATATGCATCACTCTTGAAAGAAACTTAAAAAAATCTTTAAATATAGAAAACCACAAGACAAGTATAATATATATCCTAAAGCTTTGTGTTAGCAACAAATCAACATTTTGAAAGACAATGTATATAGCCTTGACACCATTGTAGACTGAAATCAAACTATTATATATAAATGCTGCATATCTATTTACTATGATAACTTGACTTGCTATTGGCATGCCTTTGACAGACCAAAGTTACTTTGTTAATGTACTGGACTTACAGACTCCATAGGATGCCTCTTCAAACCTAGTGAAAACATATTCTCTGTGGTCCTGAATCCCCCCCCCCAAGAAGATAACAATATAATTTTAATAATTAAAAAACTGACCTCATTTCACAGTGCTTGTGATCTTTGTAGCACTTAATTGAAATCTCATTTGGTGTTAAGGCTTCGTCTGTTGGTTGGGTCCCCCGCAGTGGACAAAGATCAGTGACTTCTGTTTACTTTTGATTCCTATCATCTCTCTTCTTTTCCTCCAACATGTGTCTATATATGTTAGGCTGCTAGAGAAGAAAGAGCGGGTAACAAGTGGGCACAGTCCTCACTTGCCTGGAAGCAGGCAATGAATCTGTCGGGGACTGAAATTTTCCTAGCCAGTATAAATGGAGGTCACAAATAGGAAATGGCAAATTTCAGCATAAAGTATCAAACTAGTTTGTCTTTTGGATTACACTGTATCTCATTTTAAAAATTGCTGTAGACTGAACTAGGTGTTTAAATTAAGACAGGATTTACAATTCTTCGTGAAATTACTCCCCTTTAAAAAGTTTTTGCTATGTACCCCAAGCTAGCCTCAAACTCTTGATACTAAATTCTGGGATTCCAGCTATGCACAACCATACCAAGCTCGCTGGTCCTTTTGTGTGCTTTCCAGGAATGAGAGCCTCCTGGGTAGCTTTCTTGACAACAGCAGAGTCTCTGCTGACTATCAGCGGCCACTGTGTGTGCTTCCAACAACACAGCTTTCCTGTGCTCTACTGACCTCAGCTGGGTCAACAGCAGTCCCACTTACCAGAATCGTTCTGTCTCCCTGAACAATCTCCTCAAAGACTCACCTGTCACATGACTATGGAAAAGGGACAAAGGCCTACCCTTGTCCCTAAGTACAGCAAAAGGAAGAATAGGGGGAATGATACACACTAACAAGCAGTGTTTATTAGCACCTCTACTGGCCATTTGAAACACTTGGGTGTTGCTGAAGTGTGTGGCCCTGCAGTCCCTTGAAAGCCCAATGCTGTCACTTTCTCTGCCATCTCTGCCTTTGCATGAAGGCCTCAGGCAAACTTGCATAAATAGCTAAGTTTTTCAATTGTTTTCAAATCCCGTCATACGTTATTTTCAGATAATCATGTGCTTTTAATCTGTGGATCACAACATAATGTGAAGTGATGTCTCATAAAACTGAATGTGAGAAGGGAAAATTTAGCAAGAGTGAAGGTTTCTGAACATACAAAAACTGAAAACTAATTGAAAATTGAACCTGGGATGGGTCTAAGTTATTTGCAGAGTGGCCTGCCCAGGGTGCATCATGTGACTTCACTGATTTCTGAATGTTATGTTGGTTCTACATACAACAGCACACTTTGCAATGCACATGTCATCACACCATGCAACACCGATTGTTCCAGAAAGACCTCAGCTCAGGTTTGATACTTAGACACAATGAATATCAGTGCTGTGACTGCACATGCAAATACTTTTGCTCTTGAAATGAAGTAGTTTAACTGCAGAAAACAAAACTCAGTATTTTCCTCCATTCTTCTCAGAATATAAGCACCAAACTAGTAGGGCTTTTAGATTGCACTGTGCTACAATGTTTTATTTTTAAAGTTACTGTCTAATGAATTTTGTTTTGAAATTAAGATGGAACAGTAATTTTGAAATGGCCCTAAATGTCCTTCTGCCAATGTGTCTGTGTAATTGTTTAAAGCAGTATTCTCAACATTGATGATTAAAATATCAGTGAACTCTGAAAAGCATTGAAGATGCTGTATATCCCACAGAATCAAATATTCAGCCAAGATATAATTCTTAATGCAAAAATAAACACATATATCTATTTCATTAGCATACAAATTCACTTCTGTCTTTAATAAATGACAAAATTGTATATATATACACATATTAGATAGTTCTTCTAAAATAAATTTCTTAACAATTTATTATAAGTAATTTTTATTTGTATACTCACTCTACACAGATATATATCAAATTACCTCAACTCATGTAAAAAAAAAATTCTTAGATGGAAAGAATTCCCAAGTAAAAAAAAAAATCTCTGTATCAAATAGAACATACTTGAAAATATTTCAATTGAAAATTAAAGAAACTTTATCAAGTAGTATCAACAAATATATAAAATATATACCAGATAAAAACAAGTTATGTCTATAATTTCTCTGGCAGTCTATCTAAGAACTGCTGTTAAAGAGAATGTGCATGTTATAACAATAGTACATCAGTATCTTACAATTGTAGATAGACAGGTTTTTAAGCATACAGGTTAAAGTCTGTATGTATTTCAGGGTGAGGTTAACATCTTACTCTGCAAAGCAATCACGATGTGTGTTTATGCACTAGTATATAGGACAGCAAACCTTGCTCAAGAGATAGACTGAATTTTTAAGATAATGTTCATAATTTTTATGTAATTTTGATGATGCTGTTAACATAGCATTTAAAAACAAAACAAATTTGCGTAAAATAGCAACCCTTTAAGCTCTGAGTCAAAGGCTAGCCACGCGGAAGGCTGAAAAATAACTAGCTTTTAAACCCTGTCCTCCCGACAATGCTACTGCGCTTTCAAATATGCTTTGTTGTTTTCTTTTAATTCACTAAAATTAATCTTATAGATGTAGATGCCAGATTTGCATTAATTAAAACTCTACTGTAGAAGCCAGGCTTAATTGCAATCAAATTTGCTTAATTATGCATGGCGAGAGATTCCCAAACGAGAAAGGTTTTAGTAAGGATTTTGTTTTTTTGCATTGACAAAATAAATTGAAATTGTCATTTTTTTGTGTTTTATGTAACACTTGTAAATAATTTGTGGAGCACCTTAAGTCTTCTATGTAAAGCAATGTTATTGCTTAAGTAATTATAACAATCTGCATTTTTCATTGTTAATTGTGGGTGTCAGACTCATTAATTTTCATTTACAGACTGTAATGAAATTAAGAAAATTTTGTGCTGATCTGCTGAAAGTTGTCTTACAGGAAGTTGTTTAATACAACTAAAGTTTGGAAAAAGTCAAGGCTCATTGTTGTCATTTGAGTTTTAACCAATGTAATCATTCCACAGCAATTTTCCTTCATGTAAAAGCTGCTAAACTATGCGCAGATTTTTAGATGTTTTAAGTTAGGAAGTCACTATATTTATGTTTAATTTAGGATTATATTTTCTGGTTTAAAAAAACTGCAAGCATTCAGAATATATTTTCAAATTTATCTCATCTGTTTTCTGCAGCGGAGTATATTGTTGAAAAGGAGAAATTTTCTAAAACAACAGACATAATTACGAATCAATGCAATCATTGTTAGATCAGTGGATGACCCATTTGTTACCTAGCTTCACATTCAATGCAGATTACCTACAATTCTTTTATCTCAGATATCTGTGATGACTCTATAGCTTTAAACACTGCATCTCCAATCTTGTTTAATTTTTCAAATGTGAATTTAAAACAAGTAATTCATTAGGAAATTAGTAAAGTGTGTATTTTAAATAAAGAAAGTTAACGACAAAGAACAAGGCTAAAGTCTTTATTTTTATGTTAAGACATTGCGTCTTGTTCGTAAAGCCTGTTTAAATGTTAAGTGGTACAATTATTAATGTAAAAAATAATGGAAACAGAAAGTATCTTTCATGCTTATTTAGGAGCAAGTCAACTCTTAAGAGAAATTCGCAAAAGAGCCTTCACCTCAATTATTATCTATCTAATTAAAAATTCCAAAACAATTACTGCAGTTCTGCTTAAACCCAAGCATGAAAGTTAGATTGTTGAAAACGCGGTTGTTGAAAGTCTTGAGAAGAAATTGGCAAAGCAAAGATCATTTTATAATTAAGACTAACCTTTAATTATTGCTCTTTTTATAGCAACTTACTCTGAAAAGATAAAATAATTCACCGAAGGGTTTTGGGCATCCATCCCAGCATGCAGCACTAACCACAAGACATTGGTATGGGTCAAAATCTTTTTATTGTTATAGTGGAAGGCATAATAGAAACAAGAAATATTAAAATATACAATAGGTGCCAATTGCCTAAAAGGAATTTTCTCCTAATTCATTCATAAACAATGAGAGAAAGCAATGTACCCAAATGTTTAATAATTTCCTGGTAAAAATTCAGAATTACTCTCTTTTATGTCAGACTTCAGTTTAAAAACTACTTCTGCATTTTATTTACCCTGATATTAGTCTCAAAATTGTTCATTTTTGTGTTCTTTACAAAAGCATTTGACCACTATCATATTTTTCCCTTCTTAATCTCAATAATTTAGCGGTTTCTACCTAAGAACCAAAGACTCGGGAATACAATGAGAAGAGTCCTTTGCCCCTGCATTCCTAAAACCATGTCCATGTATGGCTTAATTTTCTAGTGTTTTTAATGCCCAAGCACAGTTACAAACAAATTCACTCTCAGAAAGGATTTTCTGTTTCAATAGTCTTCAAAATAGTTTTCTCTTGATTATAATTTTCTGCTTGAATCTTCGTGTTTACTTATAAGAAAGTTACTGTTTTATTCTCTTGCCGCCCCTATCAGTGTGTGTTCCTAGTTCCTAGTGTTTTTCCCGTCATTTTCCCACCTCTTTAGGTCATTCTTTGGGGTTTGCATTCTCTGTTCTGTTCTCTGTCCCTTTGCATTCTGTCCTCTCTGCCCCTGGTTTCACCCAGAGATGCTATTACGGTGATTGATTTACACAGTGCAGAACATTCCATAGGTATCATATTGCTATACAACGTACACATCCCATACAACAATAAATCTAAAAATAACTAGCAAAAGGAGCCATTTAAGTTGAGAGTTAAAAGTGCTAACAGGGTCAACTGGTACAGTCATTGTGTGGATGGTGGTTTCACTAGCTTGGAGACAAATGGGCAAGAGCCAATGGAGCTGGGCACTCATGATGAAATCAGTAATAAATCAGATACAGAGTATAAGCATGAATCAAATTACTATACTCAAATAAGAGCTAGGCACAGGCTTGAAAGGAAAATATGTCATTTCCTCCCCATTCCCACCATCTCTCTTCCATCCATCTTTCATCTCTCTTACTTGATATCTGTCTTTCTCATTCTGACCTTATTACTGTTTCATTTATTCTGTAATTTTCACTAAAAGCAAGGTTCCTATTAATCCTGACATGCTTCTGCTCCTCACTAAAAGTAAAAGGACCTGTTAAAATCCGTTCTCACTTTCTAAAGACTCGGGTGTGTGTGTAACGATGAATAACATTGGTAATTTTTACATGAAAGCTAGTTGGTGATTCAAAAACCAACAG